TTGTGAAGCATGGACAGAACATTTATTGAAATTAATGAGACTGTCTTTCTTTTACTGGTTTTGGGTAGAATGACACAGTAAGCCCAGTCTGGAAACTGAGTAACGTTTAAAGATTTCCTATCGAATGCTTTTGCCCTACAAATAAGGAGCATTAGCATGCTTCCTTCCACTGAAGCTGCAATAGTTAATTTTGAACCTTGACTCCTGATCGGTAAATCGCCCCTGACCTCACAAAGCAGTGCTTAGAGATAACAAAGTGATTTTGTTATGTGGAGTCAATACTGCCTCTCTGAGGACCGTGTCTGAGTAAAGCACACACTGCCACTGCTGCTATGGCTAGTATTCCCTAGTGGGAACAAAATGACACAATCTTTCCCCCTCGCACACAATGAAGACTAACACAGTAGTCGTGAGTATTCTGCATTTGTCATGGTGGTTAGCAGGGGCTTCTGTTTATAAGTATTGTGTTTTACTACCTCAAAGGAAGCTAAAGTATGTTTCAGAATCCTTTATAGAGGCATTTCTTACCAATGATGCTCAAATTAGAGAAGCTGCTTTGCAGATTAGTAGCACTGCCCTTTGCAATTAAATGGTCAGTTAAGGATATGAAGGTTTAATCATGGATGAGTATATTTCCTAGACTTAACCATGTAGCTGCCAACCGAACCACCAGCTGTGTTGAAGGAAAGGTAACGAAACGCTCAATGCTATTTTTATCCGCTAACGCAATTTGGACTTTCAGTAGGTGGTTACTAACAAGGCAAAATGTGCCAGGGCCTAACAAGATGTTCCATGCTACATTTGGTCTTTAGCAGGCTTTAATGATCAAAGAACTGTTTTGATGTGAGAGCTATAAATTGAGCAAACGAACATTTCAATGTGGTCATTGGTGAGAACTTAAATCCTTCAGAATATCCTGCTTTGGTCATTTAAGCTCTAACACAAACAGCATTGATTTTAACTGGAAAGGGCTCGGCATGGTATGGACTGTGGGGGTGCTAATAAATCATTAAAGATCAAGTAAAAAAATAGAAAGAAAACTTGATTTCAGTCGAAAGACATAATGGCAAATTAAAATGATTTTATTTTTTCTCAAATAGCTAAAAAAGAAGCCTTAGACAGTGGCATTTCACAATGTGTGCATGCCAATTAATTGGCCATGCATTATGCT